AAAGAGTGTCCCACAAGAGTGTCCCACAAGAGTTTCCTACAAGAGTGTCCCACAAGAGTGTCCCGCAAGAGTGTCCTACAAGAGTGTCGTGTAAGAGTGTCCCACAAGAGTGTCCTGCAAGTGACCCACAAGAGTGTTCTACAAGAGTGTCTCACAAGAGTGTCCCACAAAGAGTGTCGTACAAGAGTGTCCCACAAGAGTGTCCTACAAGAGTGTCCCACAAGAGTGTCCCACAAGAGTGTCCTATAAGAGTGTCCCACAAGAGTGTCCTACAAGAGTGTCCCACAAGAGTTTCCTACAAGAGTGACCCACAAGAGTGTCCTACAAGAGTGTCCTACAAGAGTGTCCCAGAAGAGTGTCCCTCAAGAGTGTCCTACAAGGGTGTCATTTGGACATATGTAGCTTTTCAAACGTGTTTGCATTCGGGTTCGTGGGTTCCATCTTGTTTTGATTTTGGAGAGGGTGGTGATGCAAGAAATGCACACTTCCATCATTTGCATCATCTGAATGGTAAGGTGTTGCTGGCGCCTTGCCAGGTATAGGTACCCAGGGTAGCTACAATTCAGTTACCAGGTATAGTACTTCAAGTTCCCTTTCCGTCAGCCGCTCGAAAACCTTTACACACGCACAGCAATCCACAGCTTTGAAGTATCATTCGTGCTTTGAACTTATATTGGTGTGTAAGAGGTATAGCAACATAGCATTTATACGGACCCAGGGTAGCTACAATTCTGTTGCCAAATGCTATGTTGCTATACCTCTTACACACCTATATAAGTTCAAAGCACGAATGAGACTTCAAAGCTGAAACGCCGCAGATGTCTATCCAAAGTGTGCCAACCACTTGCAACTATATAGTTGATATGCATGTTGGCTGAAGTGCGTGTTGATATACCAGTTGGATGAAATACTTTGAGCGTTGCAGAACTTTAGAGAGAACTTGTTTGAACTAGCTCCTCCCTAGAACCAAGGTTCTCCTTAATTCATGTGGACTGTGCACTCATTTTAGTTTCCAAGCCAATTGTCTTAAACACACTTAAACACTTAAACCATCATCCTAATCACTTGGTAATGACAGCAACTCCTACAGTGCCTGAACAGAGAGTCTCCACAACGCATGTTTGCGACCCGTGCCCCAGTTCCACTGCCTATTTTATCACACATACCCTCTAATCACGAAAGGTAGCTTGAGCTACCTGAGTTCTCCTTGCTTTAGCAAAAATGTATTACAATCAGGAGCTGGGATTGTGCAGGTCCTGTAAGAGTTGATTCTGTTCGTCGGGGGGCCCCCCCCCCTGGATCAAATCCCCCCTGCGCCGGTTCACGCCGTCATGGACTTCTACCAGGGTTACTTGTGATTGCCTGCTACCTTTCGTTCACCCCCTCCTCTCTCAAGTATATATGTATAATGGTTATGTAGTAATATTGCATCGGTCCAGCCAAGGTGGCTACAGTAGTACAATTGGATCAAGAGTTCTTTGATCCAAGGTTTGGTCCAAGATCCAAGATTGTTGGAACAATTTTTTCGGGAATCTTGGATCTTGGAACAGGAAATGTCTAGGATATATGTATATATATATATATTTACGCCTTAGTTCATGCCAAGCCAGTCCATGCCAAGTGTGCACGGCACGCACGTGAATAATCTACAGTAATAGGGCTTCCAAATAACATCTCCATGTGGTTGCTGTAGAAAAGTTGTTGGCTGCTTGTCACGCAGGGGTCTGAAGTGTGACTGCATGCTTCTTGCGTGCTGAATGTGTCCTATGTCGCTTCTGGATGAGTCATTCCGTCAAAGCCTTGGTTTGTGTTGATTCTTTGAGTTCCTGACACTCAAATGGGTCCTCCTAGATCTGGGCGTAACCACTGAATGCCGCTGGACAAACAGGCGCACTAATACAGTCATGTTTGTATACGTGGTGCAAGTGGGTACACTGGATACAGTGCAACGTAGCGGCATGTTATGTGGTGTCCAGGGGCATGGGAAATACATATACCGAGTGCAATGTCCATTTGGAGTGTAATACATTAAAATGGCATGGTAGGATATCGGTATCAGCAGGTATTGGTGCCGTGCTGTGTTGGTACTTGTATGGGCATGTATCGGATTCTATGTGATCTCCGTTGCGTGTGATGTTTTCAGCTGGATTGTCATGCGCTCTGCTTCTCCAAAGTCAGAAGTCTCACCCATGCTAAGTTGACGACCTCCTGCATCGACGTGCCTGACCCATTCTCAAACCCAGCTGGCCAACCTCTAATTTTCGAGTACAGGGACAAGGACAGAGAGGGAGAGAGAAACAGAGCCAATACAGCATTGTTTCATTTTGTTATGCAAAGGGTTAGGCCATGGAGGGGTAGCAGTCAGAATAACGAAGCGAACATGACGCTACCAGATGAAAGGACGGGGGAGAACCCTTCGTGGCACTGGATTTTCAAGGGAATGAGATGGAATGAGTATATATATATATAAATTGTGCAGCCATTCATGTTGTCTCCCTTTTTGTGTCCAGAGTCTAGTGAGTCTAGTGGGTTGCTTCATGTTGCTTCCAAACCAAATTGGCCAGGACTACAATCACGCTGAGGGAGTCAGCTACCCACCACTCTCCAATGCCTGCCCCTCAAACAAGAGGGAAGTGACCGACAGGCTTTGGCAGACTGCCCCACATTCAGGTGAATCAGTTCTGCATAGCAAGTCCAACTTCACTCGTCGACCTGCCTTGTGCTTTCTGGGAAGCTTCATGATCTACTTAAAGTTGCAGCTTTGTTGTCCAATGTCACGTGATGGCAGATCTTTCAGTCCAACCTTTTTGAACCTGGCGAATATGTTTTTGTGGTCGCCTCAGTGTTTGGTGGGGTTGCCTTGCCAGCCTCCAGGCTGTTGCTTTGGCATATGGTGGGCCTGTTGACTGTGCTCTCAAGCAACTGAGGTCACGAATGCATCCAAAGTTGTCAACGGCGTGGAGCGGGTTTCATCCACAAGCCTAGAGCTGAATTGCTATCAGATACGCCCAAAGCGGATCTGACGTGCAAGGGAGAAGTTGCCCATTGCCAGGGCTGTATGTCACGGTGCTTGCTCCGTCAACCGCATCTTCCACAAGGCTGGTGTGACAATTTATGTTGTACGGAGCCTTTTTCTAGCACAATCCCATTTGCGTTCTCCATTTTCCCGAGGCCTTGCGTACCTCTCACGTGTTACCCTCCCGATATGATCCGATATGTGTATATATGTGACTATTTTTGGAGGGCCTGCATAAGAGGCAAATTGGGTAACAAGGATGGCTGGACTGATTGGAGTTATGAGCGTCGGTTGAGCTTGAAGGAACCCATTGATCGCAGTCTTTCTAGAAAGTTCTGGGCTTAGAGGCACCTCTTAGGCTTGTGGCCGTGCCAAAACAACTAACTGAACTGAACAACACACTTTTGTCAACTGTTTTTTAGTGGTTTGTTTAAGTTCTGTAGTCTCAACAAGACAAACAGTTTGCCAGTTTTTCCTTAAAGACAGCCCACCGGCTCCTGCACCCTCAGGCCCAGCGCCGGTATTCCCTGGCTCGACCATTCGCTTGCGTGGAGAGGCTCGGACAGACAGCCAGCCAGACAGAGCGACAGACGGACTAGTAGCTTCTTGTTACTAGTAGCTTCAAAAACATACTAAAAGCTTCTTGTTACTCCAGGTGAAACGATTCCCAAGGAAGCTTCGAGAGATAGAGAGAGAGAGAGAGACGGAGAGTCGGGAGGAGAGAAGTGATGGAAGGGGGACGGAGAGAAGGAAAGAGTGAGAGACAGTGAGAGAATCAGACAGACAGAGACAGAGCTGACTTCAAAGATGGCCATGGCAGTTTGCAAAGTTGACCGCTGCAACTTTCAGGTGACAAACCCGCAGAATGCCACCACCTACAGCTTTGTGTGGACAGTCGGGGGTGCCAAACGTTTCTCCTTCAGCTTCAGCGACTTTTTTGCACGCTGTGGATGACGTGACAGCGTCACTTCGACTGCCATATGAAAGTTGCACAGGGTATATACAAGGACAGGAAAGACAGGATTGAAGGGCCGAAGGTCTTAAGAAAGGAGAGGCGTTAGGCCCGTTGCAAAAAAGGACAAGCATTGGAGAAACAGAAAGATGCTGTTTAAGGCCTACCGTTTTGGCCTCAATCCGGACTACAATGCAGAAATGGCATCAGCGGATCCGACCTACGCGGTGGAGCAATACGCCTGGGCATGGAGCTCATGGATGGCAACAACAATATGCAATTCAAAGCCACGACTAAGTACAGTGTAACTACAGTATCACTACAGCCAGGATGCATAGCCTGAAATAGCCTCCGTGTGCAGCCTGCATATTGCAGGCAGAGCTCTCTGCAGTGGAGTTCAACAAGAGTGATCCACAGCAGGCATGCGATGTAGTGAGCCCGTGGCTACTCATGACACTGACACGACATCATGATTCATGTTGTCCCATACGCTACCCGATAGACTAGAGTCATATTCAAGTGTATTCGAGAAGCACTCTGTGGTGCTAGGTAAGGAGTCGAGAGGATTCCAAGTACATGGTCATAGCACCCGATGTGCTTTGGCCCGGGGCGTGCTTGGCCTTAAGACAGCAAGCATGGCACTTCAAGTTAGTGCTTTCCAACTTTCAATCGCATGGAATTGCTTTTAGAAACAATGCCCGCACAAGGACCTACAAGCTGCGCCTAACGGCACAGCCGTCTATGATTGACTGTTGCATAATGGACAGTGGCTCGCTAAGATTGTTGGATTGCTTGATGCCAATGATATTTGTTGTGCCAGGCTCTCGACTCATTCATGGAGTCTCAGGACTTGCAGGCTCCGCTTGCAAAAGCACAATCGGTGCTTCTAAAATGACACATGCATTTAGCATGCAATGTCATTATCTATGTCATTGTTCAGGATGCTAATGGCTACGCTGAGTACACTTTCAGAACTGTAGGCCCGGAACGAGCAACCCTGCGACATGTCCAACTACTCAAACGCAGATGCTGAACAACAATAACTTACAATTTGAGCTTGTCAGGTCTTCCACCATCTGGCGGTGTTCTGTTTGCCTCGCGCTCTGAAAAACCAGACGCAGTACCGACAACGGAAAGGTGTGGAATGACACGTATGGACTGCGGCCCTCACGCGCCAGCACTGGTCTGATTGATGCCTGCAAACGTCCTCGCTACCTTGCATAAGGCATCCAATTTGTCGGGCATAGCTTTGGAGACAGCCTCGGCCTGAGCTTTCCAGCTTTGACCTTTGGACCCTAACAATATCCGATCTTACCCGGGTCCTACCCGTTCTTTTGTGCACTGCTAGAACATGCCATAACTATGTCACTATGCTCGCCTCAGGCTATCTCGACCTTTCTACATTTCACCAGAATGCTTCTTTCTGAATGGATTTTTTCCATGATCCTTTCGAGCTCTCAGTTTGCCTTTACAAGATGAAACTTCAGCGCCCAGGAGTTTCTCTTTTCGCTCGACGGTTGGGGCAGTGAAGATCGCCCATTGACAAGACCTGAGAAGAGTAGAGCCAGTAAAGCAATGTGTGGCGGGGTTTGGACATGTTCTGTGTAAACTCAAGAGCCAATCAGGCTCTACCAGTTCAGCTACATTCAAGACTTCGACTCACCCTTCGCAGCTGGCCTACTTATCCTACTTGCTGCAAGCATAGATGCACCTCCAATAGTCCTGAAGCTTCTCCAGTAGGCTGACAGAACTCGTTTCAGCTCAAAACACTTCGAGAGTGTGGTCTTGAGCTGAGGCAGAGCCTGTTGAATTGACCATCGCATTCTCAGACCGGAACTATGTGCAGACAAGGTAGGAACGTTAGACATGGTCGGACACTTTCGAACTGTGCCACTTCATGACGATAGAATGTCTGAATGGTCTTTAAACAATCGAAAGGAGAGACTTTAGACTCCTTTCGTCACATGTTTGAATTTCCTCCATTTGATCATGTGCAGCCACCCCAGGGTATATAACTTCACCAAATGGAGGAACACGATAGCAGATGGATCATGCAGATAGTATGGGCAGCCCGTAGGGCCACTAATTTAAGAAAACATAAGAAAACTGCTTTGTCACTCAGTCGGGGCAGGGTCACGTTGTGAAATGTTTCGACAAACTGTAATGTGTTTTTTTACGCAGGCTTCCGGAGGGCTTGGTTGGAACACAGCACCTCCTGCGTGTTGCCCGGTCCTCGGCAAGGACAGCCGGCGAAAAGATCACTACTAGCATTTCAAAGCTCCAAGAGAGTGCCTTCAACCTAACTAGTGTATCCACGCTCTCAATCTACATACTCGCCAAATCTTGCCTCCTACCCCGGATGGGTTGTTGCCAGGTGGGCAGGAAAATAGGTAATCAATGACGCACGATGGGTGAGGTTACCCAGTGTGTGTGGCAGACATCAAGGGAAGAGCTCTCTTGAGCACACATCTGCGAGGATATATAATTCCACTGAGACAATCTCACAGAAGCGGCCCAATGTTTGGGTTCCAACTTCCAGCATTTGTTGAAATGCTTTTTGGGGTACAGTACAGCGGCGGAAGAATCTGCTCAAATTTGGGTGAGCATATATCATATAGTGGCATTCTTGAATTGACTTCTTGAAGGGAGAGGGCACCTAAGCTACTAGGCTGGGCTCAAATTCTTGCCTAAAAGAGCAACCGGCAAGACACTTTTAAGCCTTCATAACGAGCTCGCTAGACCTCAGAAGCCCCACAATCTGCAGGCCCAAATTCTCATCTGGGAGACGGTAAAGTGGGGATTATTTGAGACCTTCAGATTCTTTGTTTCAGCACACTGTATAGATCATTATCGACTTGCAGAATGATGCGCCCAACGATTTCAACTGTCATGAGTGTGGGGAACCATCTGCTGTAATAAGGCTGAATTTCTTACATGGAAAGCCGTAAGTAAGAACTTGAAGACAAGCATGGCTGTTTCTGAAGCATGCCCGGTGCCGCTCTCAGATCCTTCCTCATGAACATACCCTCCTTGCATTGCATTTGAGGTTGGTACGGTTCAGAGCGCGACAGGTGCTGTTGCGTTTGGATCTCACCACAGTGCTTCCACCTCGGAACTGTGTGCACTCTTCAGCCATGCCTCAGGGTTTCCTCTGTTGATGTCTCCGTGAGCCCGGCTTCGCAAACTGGAATTGAACAGCTGGCACAGCAGGCATGCCACTGGCGGCCGGGAGCATTGTCCTGTCTTTACATGTCTTTACATTCTTGGCATTTGGAATGAAACCGAAACACAGTTTTGACAACTTGACTCTGTTCGAGCCGTTAGGCCGTTAGGCGAATAAACATGTTCGGCTTTGCAAGTTGCCTTTCTCAGACAAAGAGAGTCGGACAGAGAGAGAGAGAGAGAGAGAGAGAGTGGGGTTGTCAAGCGTGTGGTGTAGAAAAGAGTAATTCGGCTGCAGGTGCCCAAAGTGGATCCAGAGACGGCGATTCTGTACACAACGTTGTGGCATGGTAACACTTAATGCCGGGCAGGATGGGATGCATGCATGACAGCAGGCACCCAAAACCATCTTGGGAACTTGGGTGAAAGTATAGAAAACAATGTGCACTATATTGTTTCCTTGCGACGGACTGGAGATAGACACAGTTTGAGAGCCGATTCCATAGTCAGGACGGATGATACACTAGAAAGATCTAGAACGATATTACACCGCACCCTGACCAGCCAAGCAAAGTAGATATGAATGAGCGGGGAGTTCGAGACACCAAAAATGGATGGATGAACCCTGGAAGTTCCTTAGGCTTTGGTGAGAAGAAGGGGGGAGAGAGAGAGAGAGAGAGAGATGGGGGGTGAACAAACACTCATGACTTCAAGACCTCTTGAGAGCAGATATGCATCTTGGAGACTTATGCTAATGGGACGTTTGCTCTTTGGTGCTTGGGACCTCGTGGTCCTTCCATGCGAATTGCTATGGGCATCTGGCATGGGTGGGGTAGGGCCGCCCGCCTCTCATCGACATCCTCCCAAGCTATGGAAAGATGAAAAGAGCACACCTGAGTTGATAAGCTATCGGATACATATACAGTATATTTTAAACCAGTCTAGCCAACTTAGACTCACCGCTTAGACTCACCGCTTCACATATGTGCTCTTCGCATCGAATTGTTGTGCAGAATTCACTGATCCGACTCATCAATAGATTCCATCAAAGCAAATTGGGTCCCAATAGTCGATCAGTTCCAGGAAAAAGAGAAAACCAATTAAAGATCCTGACCAAACAAAATACAAAAGGAATACTTTCACCACCAGTAAATTTGCAATACACCGTTTCTCTTCTGTGAGCACCATTATTCGGGTTTCGCTCCCTCACCAAGCGCAAAATAATATGCTGTTTGTTTAATTACATTTATGTTGGTTGCTTCTAAATCATTAGACTCAAATTGTGATCAACGGACGGGATAGTAGGATGATGTCGACCTACCAATGAAGGGTCTTATCTTAGCCTTTAAGATATAACACTTTACAGCGGAATGTGGCGATGTGACCCTGAACGACAAGAATTGAGATCAAAAGAATGAAGTGGTTGATCTCGAACTCCCTGCTTTTGGGGATTGCTTGTAGATAAATGTGACCCCTGCAGATGATGGAGGGACACAGCAGTCCATCAAAGGAGAGTGACGAGGTCTTTGCCGTTTCTTGAACGTTGGTTATTTTGCCATGAAAGAATGGGGAACAAGAAGCTACTAATAAGAAAGGGCATGGCTACTAGTAGCATGGACACGACTAGTAGAAAGGACTCTACTAGTAGCTCCTGGCCTTACTACCAGTAACAAGGACGCTACTGGTTTATTTCCCTTTCTTTCTTGACTGCACTGGCGGCACAAGGCTCGCCGAAACTCCTGTTCTGGGCTGAGACCTCGTGTGACCAGGTCAAATTCTTTGCATATTTTGATATTGCCAGCAGTTGCACGCAACTTGAAGCATTATTCCTTCTGCTCTTGCAAATCATCTTGAGATTGGTACAAGAGAAGGCAACTCCAACGGAGAGCATGCCCACGCTGGCACAGGTGGGGCAGTTCACTGAATGGATTTCTGCCAACTTGTCCTTTGCATGCTATTCCCATCTAGGTCGTGGAGGGCAAGATGTTTGCCATTGCCTCAGTTGCAGATTGTGAAATCATCATGATCAAAGGCCACAGGAAGTCCGTGGATGTACTTGACACCTGCAGACAGCGTGCGGATATTGTTGCCAAGAGACGCGTTTGGAGCCAGGCTGCCGACCGAGCAATTGCTGGGACACCAGAGGTGATCCGGCTTGCTTTCCCATGTGTTCTTTATCATCATCACATATGTATGTCTTACCTGCATGTTCCCCAAATCTAGATTCTAGATCAGGCAAACCCAGCCTAATATGGAACAACTTTGAAGATCGGTCCTTTGAAGAACATCCTTGCTTTCCTTCTGTCAGAAGGATCTGGTTCATTCTGACAATAATTGGATTGGATATTCTTATTCAAAAGGCAAGGTATCTCTTTCATAGAAGCATCCCACTTTATCCAGGACATCATCGGTAATACAAGGCTATTACATGCTGTTGCCGTATTACATACAAGGCTATTATATATACTATTCTTAAACCATGCTCATTCTTGATAAGACTTTGACCGTAAGAATGCATATATACATATGAGCACAGTATCCGCCATAAAGGAAGATTATGTTCACAAAAGGTAGCTCAATTGGCTGACAACTTTGGAAGTTCTACAATCAACAACCTGTCGAAGAAGGGAAGAGCCGAAGATAGGCAAAAGGGTAACGACTACGGGTAACAAACTTTTTAGAGCAATACGTTATGACATGCATTGCAATGCTAGCGGCCAATCCACCTGTTTGTCTGTAGAGGAGCTGCTGATTATGTAAGCAACAGGGTGCAGCTTGTGAACTACACAACCAAGAAAGATGTCAAAAGGTCAAGAAGTAGTAAAAAGTTTCGAGGATAGTGTTGGGTGCTATCGACAGCAGGAGCAGCTTCAAAATGGAAAACCTAATTCAAAGGAACATAGTATTGCTAGGCAGCAAGAAACAGTGACTTTTGACCAAACAATAGGTCAAGCTTCCTGGACCCTCCAATACCAAACACCCAAGTGCTTGATGCATGATAATACCTTCAAAGCCTAAACCTCTCAAGAATTGTGTGTTGTTGATTGTGGTATAAGTTGCGTAGGCCAACCCTTGGCTGAGGCCTTTGGCAGTGCACTTGCAAGTGGTGAGGTGAATCATTCATTTATCCCAAACTGCTGAACACCTTGCTAGAAGTGCCCACTATGTATCTACTTTATAAATGTATACTGTACACATCTGTATACCTAGTATTCCGTGTACAGTGGTCAGTCGTTGCAGGGTGAATAATGTTCATTGGCGTGTCTCGTGTTCAGCGCGCACGCTCCGTGAGTGTCTCTTGTGAGTGAGTGTTCGAAAGGGGTCGAGTTTGTGGCTTTGCTTTCAGGGCAAGGAAATGTTGCCGAATACAAGCACGACCTTATCCATGTAAACATCAATCTTTTCTCTATCTTTTTTTTGAGCCTTGAGGACGTCAGTTGTTTGTCATGTGACAGTAGGCAGACAGCGACACTTGACCACTGTGCGTTGCTGCTTTTGCCGCTTACCGTCGCCGTAGTTCTTTACACTGTGGGTTTGCGGTTTGCGTGACATTTTGTAACCTTGCAGCGCATGGTTTGCCACATGAGCAGGCTACTGTGCATGTAGGCAGACACGAATTATATACAGAAATTACATCCGGAAGCCATGCGAGCCATGAGCAATTTGGATCCTTCATGGGACGCGTCAAGCCTAAAGCATCCAAGACGAAAGAGCAGGATGGGCCATCTCGGTTTGACGCCTGGGCAGACATCTCCCAGTCCTTCCAACAGCCACGATGGAAGATGTACGAGTTGGAGTTTGAAAAAGGGAGGGATGAGAAGGTGCAGGTTTTTGGACACTACATTGTCGCAACCGGAGATGAAATTTGGTGTATTGGAGGGTTTCGGCCATGCGAGCGAGCCAAAATATCCTTATTAAAGTTGAAGCTACATTCCAAGTGCTGGGATGACTTGACACCGCCGGACAATGCAATAGCACCGGCTTGGAGGTGGGGGCACTCTGCCTGTGTGATAGGCAAGCAAGTCGTGCAGAAGCAGGTGATCTCAAGCATTTTGCTTTGCGGAGGGTTCAACAAGAATTGCAATCATGATGACGTTTGGCACTTCTGTCCGAAGGAGAAAGTCTTTACTGAACCGCAAGCCAGCCTCCAGCGATTGCCTTTTCATGGGGCCTACCATTCGCTCGCTTATGACTCTTTCTCAGAGGAGGCATACATTTTTGGTGGCCAATGCTGCGTTGGTGGCCCCTATGTCTATTCTGATCGAGACTTGGATATACCTTGGAACTTAAGCTGGACTTTTGAGGATTTTGGGAAACGCTGTGGTGGCAAAAGTCTCATAGAGCGTCCGGGTTGAGGTGTATTGATTGCCCAGATGCGCCGCCACCGGCGTGGCTGGCAGGCTTGGTATGTTAACAGATTTTGACAAGATGGAAGATAGTAGCATCCTTGCTCCTAGTAGTATGGCCAGGAGCCCCTAGTAGCGTCCTAGTAGTAGCGTCCTTGTTCCTAGTAGCGGTGCCAGGAGCCCCTAAGAGTCTTCCCAGCACATTTGTCTTTGAAAGCAGCCATGAGGAACTCCGCACCTCTGGAGTGAAGCCTCCAGCAAGAGCACAGCATGCAGCTGTCAAACCTGCAGTGTTTGACAGACTCATGCATTTTACGTTCTGCACTCGGCCTCAGCCTCCACATGTCCGAGCACTTTGCCAGGTTATTGTGGAAAGCGGAACCATGATCATTTATGGTGGAGCGAACTCATCTTCGACTCTACACGACGTAAACCGGACGCAGTCAGAGCTTTTGTGGGCATAAATTCTTTGAACAGTTCACGTGAAACTTCAGGTTTGGACACTGGACTTGCGAAAGGCTCCGCCCCAATGGAGCGAGGCAATCTACGTGTCATGTGTGCGAAAACTTCTACTGCATCGCTGCATCACCTATTGTCAGGTCCGCACCTCCAGTCAAGCGCCTTTCGTTTCCCGCTTTTTCACCCCACGTGACTTCGAGGCCTCGAGATATGTGTCATACTGCCCAATCAATTGGAATTGAAGTAGGAACAAGGACGCTACTGGGGGCTCCTGGCATCGCTACTAGTAACAAGAAGCTGCTACTGTAGGGGCTCCGGACCTACTAGGAGCAAGAACGCTACTAGGTGTGTGGCATTTTGGCAGAATAATTTGCTTGTTTCTGCTGACGGCGCTCCATTGCAGCTTCCATCCACAAAGTTCCGGTACTTTGCCTCACAGTTCCTGTTGGCAACAGGTAGTCTCCAGCCGTCCCCAAATGGCATCACATGGCTCTGGCGTCATCGTTGTTGGGGAAGGCCGAGGCGCGCTGCCAAGCGGGAAGAGAAGAGATAATTATGGAAGCCTTCATTGACTTTATTGCGTTTTGCAGGACATTGCTTGTCCCTGTGGGCGCTGCAGTTGGGCAGGTGGCATTCATTGCCTGCCGCTGGTAGTGCCCTCAGATGTTAACATTGACTTGCGTTAAAGTCGCATGATGTTGCACGCGTGTGCACACATTTCCAGTTGATATCTGGTGTTTGTCCTGTTTGGATTATTCATCAATCAATCCCAGACTCCGAGCTGAGCCAGTGTTTCGCCTGCAGAAGCTAAAGCTATGTTATATACATTATTCATCCAAGAAGGGGCCCAGTCAGACACGGCGGCTGTAAGCGAGGGAAAGGTCCTAAGGTAGCAAAATTCCTTGACAGGTAAGTTCCGTCCAGATGAGCGGTGTAAGGACTTCCTCACTGTCACTACCCTCGTCTCTCAGAAATTGAGTCATCCTTGATTACGAAGAAACCAGCGGCCTGACAATAAGACTCTGAGCACCCTCACTGACTTGGGGCCCCCTGCTCTTGGCCTGGCGGTTGACCGTGTACTAGCGAATCATTCTCTGAGTTCAACCGACACGCGGCCGAGACGAGTGATTGGCTGGCAAGAAAAGCAGACAGACGCAAAGCAGCATGCTGGACAGGCCTGCAACGAGTAGATTCACACAAAAGCCACAAATGGTCTCCGCAATGGAAAATCGGCTGCAAAAGCAGCAAACGTTCTGGGGCTTCCTCGAATAGAAGATTGGAGGGTGAAACAGGATCCGCTCCACACCGGCATGCCCAATTTAGCTCAACAACGTCCCGGTCACGATCGTCACGCAACTTTCTGAAGGTAGTCAGAGCTTCGCCATTTTGTCGACTACGGAGTTGCAGTGAATCAGCTGTGGTTTATGCGAAGTGGATCTCACATTTACTGTAAGTGTGCGGAGTTAACATTGGGCAGCAAAATTCTACCATATAAGAGCGTCAGGAGGTGGGCCCAGACATCCTGAGTGGCATTTGTGACAGGGCACTGTGCCGAAGCCGTCAATCATGGGAATCGGTGCAAACAGTATGTCCGTGCGAAATTAATCGTAGGCATCGGTATATATGCCTTCAAGCATGGGGATGCTGTCTCTAATGTAATGTATGCTTTAATTTGTTTGATTCGGTCGTGTTTCATTTTGTGCCGATGCGAGCCGGAGAGTCCACGGTGCCACTTTCACTTCTGCCTGAAGAGGGCAGGCGCAAGGATACACATAGGATAGACTTGACTCGACATAGAGATGCTGTCGAATCCAGGATCTCATTGCCTGACCGAGATGGAACTACGTCATGGCACTTCTTTTTGGTTTAGCACGATGCTCAACACATGCCCGGGTGCACCCTTGTTGGCATACAGGGCAGAACAGAACAGTCCTACAGGGAAGGGGTGCACATGGGCATATCAAAAGAAATGAAACAAATAGAGAAAACCACAAATAGATAATATAAATTAAAGGGACGGATATAACGGTGCAGACAAATTTGGCAAACCAAAGAGCAAAAGCAAGAAAAGAAAGACATACAGACAGAAGACAAAAAAAAGAAGACATATCACAAATGAGGATAAAGCAGGCAGGAAAGAATGACAGAAACAAAAAAAGGTAAATGAATGGATGGAAAAATAACAAATAGGTATCAAACAAAGCACAATGAAAAACAACTGGAAGACCCCCCACATAGTACCTGAAGCATCCTTTGCTGCCATAATGATGGTGTAGGCGGCAACTGCAACTAATAGCACCGGACAACAACAATGTACAAGCGAAAAGTAGCCGAAGGCCA